TAGAAGTAGAATTACATCGCCATACTTTAAAAAGCTCCTCTTGCTAGCTGGACTGAACAAACACTTAGCACTAGAATTTGAATTTAGTTAGCAGAACATTAGCATAGGCGGGTAGGGGGGATTTGATATCATTCAAATTTGAATAAGCACTACATTTTGTGTATAGCATAGACGATATCTAGATTTTTAAAACATTTTAAATGTAAATAGGATCAACAATGTATATTGATATAAATCCTTTAAAAACTACTCCGTAATATGGTAGTGTTATTGACGTGAACTGCTAAAATATATTTTGATTGAAGTATTATTGTATTAATTATTTAGTATGTCTGCATTTCAATTTTGTGGTGTTAGTGTTAGCGAGAATTGCGTTAATATGTTATTATAGTACAGGTGTATTTTTAATGGAAATGGAAAAATCTTGGAGGATCTGGTGGTAGCTGCCCAAGAGGGTGTTTTTGTGAACATTGACAGTGAATTTGATTTAGAAAACATTGTTGAAGCAGCAAGGATTTCTGGGAAGAAAGTTAATGTGCTTCTGAGGATTAACCCTGATGTGGATCCCCAGGTATTGATGACCAAGGCACACAATGGCTTCACATATTGTCCGCTTCCATCAATATGACAGTGGGAGTGTTTAAAGAAAAAAAATTAAATCTTTGCCTTTTTTCTTTTTTAAAGTAGCTTTTATAACTTTGGTGCTTGGTGAACAAAATTAATTTTTTGCTTTTTACTTCTTAAAGCCATTTAAACCTCAACAACAAGAACAATAATATCAACAAACCCATTAAGTCCCATTAAGGTTTGGGGAGTGTGTGTTTATGCAAAGCCTACCCCTGCTCTGAAGTAGAGAGGTTGTTTATAAGAGGCACCCGGCTCAAAAATAGAAGCACATACAAAGTAAAGCTAACACCGTAGCACACTGAGTAAGAGCTTATAAACAAGAAGCACACATATCGACACTAGTAAGAAGACCCAAAGCACGCAAAGTACACATGCACCAACTACAAACCAAGATAAAGACACATGAGCATAAACTACAAACTAAGGCCCCTAATCTCTATCCAACTACTCTAGTCCTAGATCTCCAGACGTTCCAAGCCTAAAACTAGTAGCTAAGCTACTCGCATATTGCTTCTGAATATTATTTTTCTAAGACACTCCCATATATATCTACTTATGGATATTATAAGCTACCCGCAAATTGCTTCTGAATATATTTTTTTCTAAGACACTCCCATATATATCTTCTTATGGATTTTCTTTTGTTTGCAATAATATGCTTTCCATTTAGGTGCATCCTTATGTTGCCACGGGAAATAAAAATTCCAAATTTGGCATCAGAAATGAGAAGCTGCAATGGTTCTTGGATGCTATAAAGGCACATCCAAAGGAATTGAAGCTTGTTGGAGCTCATTGTCATCTTGGGTCTACCATAACCAAAGTAAGCATACATGTTGGTTCATGTTTATCTTCTAAGCAATAATACTTGACATTTCTCTTGAGAGTAAACCCCATTTTTATTGTATTTCCAGGTAGATATATTCAGAGATGCTGCAGTCTTGATGGTGGCCTTTATCGACCAAATTCGTACTCAGGGATTTGAAATTGATTTCTTGAACATTGGTGGCGGGCTGGGGATTGATTATTATCACTCTGGAGCCATCCTGCCTTCACCCAGGGATCTGATAGATACCGTGAGAATTCCCTCATCTCTTATTCTCAACAGAAAACCACTCTATTTCATGTGATTTATATGATTTTTCTTTCCTCTACACAAACCACAACCACACAAATTCTACTTCATCGCAAATCATAAAAATTCCAAGATAAATATGTGAAGGATGGAGCATTTGAACTTTTTTTTATACTTATTTTTCTTGTATAGGTCAGGGAATTGGTTGTTTCAAGAAACCTGAATCTCATCATTGAACCCGGAAGGTCACTTATTGCTAATACATGCTGCTTGGTGAACCGTGTCACTGGAGTTAAAACAAACGGGACGAAAAACTTCATTGTAATTGACGGTAGCATGTCGGAGCTTATTCGTCCGAGTCTCTATGATGCTTACCAGGTAAACAAATGTCTTTGATGATTATGCGCCGTATTGAACAATTGTTTGCTATTGTAGGATACGACTTGAGCCCGGAGAGCCAAGATTAGGTTAGTCGCATAGACCTCTAGGCCTTAATTGTTTACTGTTGTAGGATACTATATGTTTACTTATCTTTACTTCAGCCTATTTTTGTTCTTTGTGTCGGGGTCTCTTGGAATCGATTTCTCTACTACGTTCAAGTAGGGTAAGGCCTATGTACACACACCCTTTCGTGACCCTACTTCTATGGAATTCTAGTGGGTTTGTTTGTTGTTATATTAAACGATTTTCTACTCCTTTTTATGCCATCTTTGATAATTACTTCTTCGTAATAAACAATTGTCTCCATTTCTATATGTATGCAAACAAGATCTACCTCATATTCGTTACTCCCTTTGTTCCAAAATAAGATTTGTGTTGCAGTATACTATGTCTGACTAGATTTATTCTCATTTCAATCTATGTGAAAATTAGGGTTCAATTAAAAATAACATTTATATGTGTAAAAATAACATAAAAACTTTACAAAGCAATAGATGGTTTGATTATTTTATTTTATCAAATGGTCAATGAAAACATCAATAAAAGAAGATACATTTTGACCCTTCGAAAAATGTGAATAAATAGTGAATGAGAACCATATTTTGAGACGACGGAGGGAGTAATATAAATACAAATCAATTTATGAGACATAGGCTATTTAGTAGACAATTGCTCATTTCTTCTTTTTTGGGTGCAGCACATTGAGTTAGCTTCTCCCACACCCTCGGACTCCAAGGTTTCTACATTTGATGTTGTGGGTCCCGTATGTGAGTCGGCAGATTTCTTGGGAAAGAATAGAGAACTTCCAACCCCTCCAAAAGTAAGTTTCAATATCTCTTTAATACGGGCTTTCGGATTTTGTTCAAATCCTCATACTGAGTACGGGCTTTGAATGCAGGGTTGTGGCTTGGTTGTTCATGATGCGGGTGCCTACTGCATGAGTATGGCATCAACCTACAATCTCAAGATGCGCCCTCCCGAGTATTGGGTTAGTACCCCTAACCTTTGCTGCTCTAAAATTGTTCACCTTTGGTGATACGTGTTATATGGAACCAACTCAACCACATGTTTCAACTTTTGGTCGTGAGTAAGCATCTGACTGCCGTCCAATATTTAAAAAAAAAAAACTTTTTCGCGTGTAAGGTTCAAGGACAAAAATGAATTCGGTCTGCATGTGAGAGGTTATTTTAGACTGAAAAAATCTTTTCTAGGTCTACGACCACAAGTTTGAGCTTTTGGTGGAGTTGGTTTGTTAACACAATGAGTAGCAACAATTAGCATGGGCTTGTCAATCAAATCTTGTGTTAGGGCTTGTTGTCTTCAACTTTTCTAATTGGTTCTGATATGATTCGATTAAGTTTTGATTTGATATGATTGTAGTTATATTTAAAGTTATTTCTGATCTGATTCCAATAAGAATAAGTAACAAGTAAAAAGAATAAGTTGAAGACAACAAGCTCTTAGTCCCATTGCCTTTGCAGTTTTAGTTCATTCAGATGATTTCGGCGCGTGCTAACTTCCCATTTATAGGTTGAAGAGGATGGACGCGTATCAAAAATAAGGCACGCCGAGATGTTCGAAGACCATTTGAGATTCTTTGAGGGCCTTTAATATGGCGTTTTGATTTAGCGGTTTCATTTATGCTGTTGTTTGGCTCTCTGTGATATACATCGTCTATTTGATTTGTTGAACATTGAGAATGGAACATCGATTATGTTTCACTCACACCAATGTTGACACTACCACTTTTCACATACAATCGTTATGTTTGTGTGATTGTCTCTGATCGTGCCAACCGGTACTTTTCCAATGGAACATTGAGCTCCCAATCCCCCTTTTCAAGATGGGAAATTTATATCACACATTTGAGGTTCAATTAGTGTGTGTATGTATGTGTGTTTGTGTGTCTATATTATGAGGTGTTTTTTATTTCAACTTTTGTAGAAATTACTTCATCTACAATTTAATCACTCTCAAACATCCTCTATATAATTTCCACTGACACAGGATGTCAATTGTTAACGAAATTTGAGTATAATTATTTTTAATTTGATTTATTTAAATATAATATAAACTTTAAACATTAATAAAATTAACTATGTATAATATACTACCTCTTTCTTAGAAAAATCTTTTTTTGTCAGACATTCTATGACCACAAATTATAAAAAAATATATTTAATCATAATGGAAATTCATTATAATTGGATTCATCTTTGAATTAAATTTTGATATATCAAATTTTATTACATTTATTTATTTAAATAATATTTAATTTGTAATCAAAGAGTGTCAAAGTTTGACAAAAAAGTCAAGACAAGATTTTTTCTGTACGAAAGGAGTTAAACTTAAAAATAAAATAAAAAAAAAAGGGAAGGTTCCCATGACATTGGGAACTAATGTCATGGGATGACCCGGGAGCGCTCCGGTGCTCCGTTCGTAAAATTGACGGTTCCTTCCCCCCAACCCCCCCCCCCCCCAGTAAATCCCTCCACCCCGCCCCGACCCGAACACACCTCCCCACCCCCTTCAATTGCACCCCACAAGTCGATTTTGACTTTGGAGTTAAATTTTGACTCCAAAATCAAAATCGACTTGTGGGGTGCAATTGAAGGAGGTGGGGGGGTGTGTTCGGGTTGGGGTGGGGTGGGGGGGGTTTATTGGGGGGTAGGAACCGTCAATTTTACGAACGGGGCACCGGAGCTCCCCCGGGTCATCCCATGACATTTGCATGACATTGGTTTCCAATGTCATGGGAACTAAGGTGATAAAAAAATTTCAAAAAAAAATCTAAAAGATCTATACAAAAATGTAACATTACAAATATAAATAATTAGATGGAGATGCTAGACCCGTTTGCCCAAATGCTTACTAGGTTAGGCTAGATATCCCTCTTATATATATGCTTAATTGCTTACTAGCATATACTTCGTATATAAGAGGGTGAAACTTGGCCAGATAGCTTAACATTATGTTTGGTTCAAGCATTTTGTAAGAAAAAGAAAAGAAAATGATTTTCTCTCATTTTTCCTCACCAGAATGAGAGGAATTTGGTTTTCTCTCCACTTCGTATATTTATCTTCTCATTTTCTTTTCTTTCCACTTTTCCTCTTCAACCAAACATGAAAAACTATTTTCCAGTTTATTTTCTTTTCTTTTCCTTTTCAAATTCTTTGAACCAAACATAGTGTAAATTTTTGGGATAGAAAAGAGAATCCAACTTTGTATGCAAGTGATTAATTTTACCCGACACCCAGCGCTTTGTTCTTGGCCCATCGAAAATTCTACAATTCCTTGTTGTGCTATTCCTCGCGAACGTAATGAAGAGTGACATTCAAATGCGGGCCAATTAACATTTGAGTCCAATCTTCACATTCATGTGGGCTCAAGTTCTTGGAATCCATTCACTCCTAGAAAAATGGCTAGAAAAACTCCCGCAAGTCCACTCTGATCTGTCCTTCCTCATCCGTCCATCTTCAGGTGTGTTTCAATTTTCAGTCTTCGCTGCTTCATCTTTTTAACATTGTCAAATTACTGTCTAATTATTTCGATTGTCCAGTGTATATGGTACATCCGGATGTACATAGAAATAGGTAGATCTGGGTAGTACTCATTCTGAAATAAAATAATACATATTCTCGTATCAACATATATTAGTTTTGAAATAGTGTGGTGCTCATTTTGAAATAACAAAATATTCATTCTGCAATAATGTAATATACATTTTCACACATTTATTTAATATAATTATAATATTCAACTACGAATAAAATAAAACAAATTATTACTCATTCTCAAAATAAAATAGTGGTCATTGTGAATTAAATTAATTGTTCATATCTTTACCCCGAGTTTCCCAAGTTTGTACTACTTCCACAGTCCCACGTACCTTAAACCCCCAATTTCCGTCTGCTTCCTCTCCCGCAATTATAACGCAATCCCTTCATCAGCGGCGTCTGCGTCTTCTCCAACAAGCAGGAACAGAGGCGCGACAAAGGTGGGTAGGCGAAAGTCAATTTTCCGTTCCATCTCTTCTTCTCGTCTCGTCTCGTCGCGCTTCTTAGGGATTTAAGCCGGCTGTACGGTTCTAACCGTACAGCCGGATGTACGGTATAATAATTTTTTAGATCTATGGTTTCGAATTTTTTCTTTTAATTTTTAATTTAAAGAATCTTCGTCGTTTGTCAGTAAGAAATCGGCATTGTTTGTCAGATTCTTTTTAAAAATTCGGCCGGCAAAAGGGAATTTAATGCAGAGATGCTGGGTTGCTGGTGTGGGAAGAGCGAACAATTTTTCAATTTATGGGGTGAGACTTGAGAGCGCCAGCAATTTCCAGTTTTTCATCATCCCTTTAATTTCAAAGTGATTTGCAGTAAATAATGCTCTGTGCAAATCCAACCTCCCACTGTACATTTAATTGGAAACATCGCGAGACTTAGAAAGAAATCAAGTTATTAGAAAAACAGTGCCTATTTGGTTTGATGTATTTTGTTGTACACTATGAAATCAAAGAATTGAGATTTTTGTAAAGATAAGAAGAATGCTTTGATGAAGATGAACACTTTGTGTTGTTGCATTATGGAATTCTGTGTTGTTAAATCATAGTTCAACTAAGCTTGCTCAAAATTTCTCCATTAGAACTCCCTTCATCCCTTTTTTAACATCACATTTTGGAGTACTATACTCTGTATTTGATTGCAGTTATTTTCAATTCCATTTTTCTGAAAAAACAACCGATGTGAGTTTAAAAATCAAATGTATGTAAAACAAGAGGTTTCTTGGCTTTTTTTTGTAGCAAATGATTAAATCAAGTTTATTAATGGTGGGAAGGAGTATTGTTTAGTTGGGTGTCCAATGGTTTTGTTTGAAGTAATCATGTTGGCCATTTTCAGGGTCTTTCACGCTTCATCCAAAGCTGCCCGCGTGAGCTCAAGTTCACCTCTTTACCTTTAGGCCTCTTACGGACATCTTACTCTGTCATGGCTGGTGACTCTGGGACTGGCATTTCTAATGGCAATGTCAACGTGCAGTCTGATCCTCAGAGGACCTACCAGATTGTAGTTGCTGCCACTCGCAATTGGGGTATTGGCAAGGATGGAAAGTTACCTTGGAAACTGCCATCTGATTTGAAGTTCTTCAAAGAGGTTACCGTAACAACAGCTGACCCTAGTAAAAAGAACGCTGTTGTCATGGGCAGAAAGACTTGGGAAAGTATTCCTGTGGATCACCGCCCTCTCCGTGGCCGCCTGAATGTTGTCCTTACTCGCTCTGGTAGTTTTGACATTGCCACTTCAGAGAACGTTGTGATTTGCAGCAGTTTAGGATCTGCTTTGCAACTGTTGGCATCTTCTCCTTATTATCTATCGATTGAGAAAGTCTTTGTCATTGGTGGTGGTGAGATTTTCCGGTTAGTAGAAATTTGCATTGGTTTGCTAGTTCTTTTCTTGTAAACTAGTACTTTTTTCTCTTTCTTTTGTTAATTTTCTGCAGTGCCGCATGTAAAATTTCAGGGAGGCTCTTAATGCCGATAAATGTGAGGCTGTTCATATTACTGAGGTTGAGGCAGACATTGACTGTGATACTTTCATGCCGGCTATTGATATGACTGCATTTCAGCCCTGGTGCACATCATTCCCTTTGGAAGAAAACAAGATTCGATTTTCTTTTACCACTTATGTTCGTGTGAGGAGTCCTGAAGTAGACTCCCTTACTTCGAACAACGTTCTCAATCTTGATAACGGGTCAGATGTTGCAAAGTCTGAGGTGAAAGCATTCTCTTTCTTGCCTAAGATGATTTTTGAGAAACATGAAGAGTACTTATATCTGAGGCTGGTTGAGGACATCATAAACAATGGTGTCTCTAAGGATGACAGGACTGGAACTGGTACACTGTCAAAGTTTGGTTGCCAGGTAGTCGGAGTATAAGTTATTGCATATTTACTCATGAGACAGTGCAGTGGAATAATTAATTAATTCTGTTTCAACATTAGTGTTTTTTTCCTGTGGTTTGACCTTTTATAATAATTATTATATGAAGATGCGGTTCAATCTACGGAAATCCTTTCCACTTCTTACAACAAAGGTATACTCTTGACATTCAATTTAGTTTGCAACTTCTAGCTTAACATTCATTTTGTTTCACGTTCCTTCAATTAACACACAATTTTGCTATGGTCTAAACTCTATTTTGGTTGCAGAAAGTATTTTGGCGAGGTGTTGTTGAAGAACTCCTGTGGTTCATAAGTGGTTCTACAAATGCAAAAGTAATAATATTTTCTCTTTTATGTTTCTGGGCCTTGCTGTCTATGAAATCTTTTTTGTAAATATTTTTTTAAAATTCCAGGTCTTACAAGAGAAGGGCATTCATATATGGGATGGAAATGCATCAAGAGACTACCTTGATAGGTAGGTCATAGCTGTGTTATTCTGTATATAGCAAAGATATCTCTTTAAAAAAACCATAATTAGCATTTGATGTGTTTTTAACTGCAGTATTGGTTTAGAGGACAGAGAAGAGGGTGACTTAGGACCAATATATGGATTCCAGTGGAGACACTTTGGTGCCACGTGAGCTTTAAATATAGTTTGACCTATTTTTTGGTGAGGAGATCTATTTGTTACAGAAGACTTATTATGCAGGTATACAAACATGCATGCTGACTACACTGGCCAAGGATTTGATCAACTTCTGGATGTTATCAACAAGATTAAATACAATCCAAATGATAGGCATATTGTTCTTTTTGCTTGGAACCCTTCTGATCTCAAATTGATGGCACTTCCTCCTTGCCACATGTTTGCTCAAGTTAGTATAAAAGTAAAATTTGTTGGAATGAAAGTGTAACTCATTCAGTTTCTCAATTGCATTATCTTCCCTTTGCAGTTTTATGTGGCCAATGGTGAGTTATCATGTCAAATGTACCAACGTTCTGCTGATATGGGTCTTGGAGTGCCATTTAACATTGCTTCTTACTCCCTTTTGACCTGCATGATTGCCCATGTTTCCGGTATGTTTATCGGGGTTTGTATTTGCATTAGCAACACGTTTGGAATGTGTGGAACTTGGAAAATTGTTGAGAAAATGGGGAAAGTTGTTTTTTTAATATTATTTTTTTGGCTTTACCATAGATATTACAAATATAATCAAATTTGATTGAATATTTTAATGGCATATGCCATATTGTCACCCCTTCATCTGTTATTTTTTTGTGTGTTGCCCATTACAAGTGCCTTATGGTTCTAAATTTCATATAGGCCTTTCTCCTGGTGAACTTGTCCATGTCATTGGAGATGCTCATGTTTACAAAACTCATGTCAGACCTCTACAGGATCAGCTTCAGAAGTTACCTAGGCCTTTCCCAGTAAGCATTGACTGAAAGATGATAATATGTAGAAGTTTTAAATATTTCAGTTGGTAAAAGCTTTTTGAAAGAGCAAAATCAGCCTGAGGACACCTAACTCTTGATTCTTGTTATATCATACTCCCTCATCCCCCACTTAAGTTGTCACTTCCTTTTTTCGATTTTTCCAAATTAAGTTCACACTACCATATTAGGCGATACAATATTAAATATTGGGAATGACAACACTCTACCCCTAACCTCTTATAAAATCCACAAAAAAAGTTTAATTTAACGGTGGCATATTTGGAAAGTTAACACATAAAAGTTTCTTGCTTGAAGTCAAAAAATGAACTTCATTCGATGATGGAGGGAGTATAATCTATGATTTTTTGGTGTTAAAAAGAATTATTGTTTATAGAAAGGCTAACTGATCAAGTTGCGTGTACGTTTGATTTTTAGAAATCTCGAGGGTCATTTCGTAATTTGTCCAAAGCTCAAGGGATGAACCCAAATACGAATGAGCTTTATTTTATTTCGTGTTGATTTACATTGTTGTAGATACTGAAGATCAATCCTGAGAAGCAGGACATAGAGTCCTTCAACGCTGATGACTTTAAGCTGATTGGCTATGACCCTCACCAGAAAATAGAAATGAAGATGGCCATTTAAAATAGTTCCCGGTTCTATTTGGGGTGAATAAACATGAGATTCTCCCCCACATGGTTTTATACATTCTGACAGGTTTTTACGGACCTCTCCCTGTTTTATCTTCATTTTTTTCTGTCCCTGTTCTACCGTTCCTTTTAAGTACTTGTTACGNCATATACACATATTTCTATATGTCTGTATTTATTTTTGTGTGTACACATTTATTTTGTATATAAAAATGTCTTATATTTTGAAATATCAATAGAGAAACAAATTATAAACATAAAAAATTAGGAAAAACTATATATAACGGATCGGATATTCGGATAAACGGTTATTTAAACGGATGCATATTCGGATCGGATTTTAAACGGATCGGATATACAATTACCAGATCCGTATCCGTTTAGTAATCGGATATCCTTAATCGGATACGGATAATATCCGTTTAAAACAGATGCGGATATTTCCTCTTTAAACGGATACGGATGCGGACGGTAATCGGATTTTCGGCTATCCGTTTACAGCCCTACGTAACAAGTACTTAAAAGGAACGGTAGAACAGGGACAGAAAAAAATGAAGATAAAACAGGGAGAGGTCCGTAAAAACCTGTCAGAATGTATAAAACCATGTGGGGGAGAATCTCATGTTTATTCACCCCAAATAGAACCGGGAACTATTTTAAATGGCCATCTTCATTTCTATTTTCTGGTGAGGGTCATAGCCAATCAGCTTAAAGTCATCAGCGTTGAAGGACTCTATGTCCTGCTTCTCAGGATTGATCTTCAGTATCTACAACAATGTAAATCAACACGAAATAAAATAAAGCTCATTCGTATTTGGGTTCATCCCTTGAGCTTTGGACAAATTACGAAATGACCCTCGAGATTTCTAAAAATCAAACGTACACGCAACTTGATCAGTTAGCCTTTCTATAAACAATAATTCTTTTTAACACCAAAAAATCATAGATTATACTCCCTCCATCATCGAATGAAGTTCATTTTTTGACTTCAAGCAAGAAACTTTTATGTGTTAACTTTCCAAATATGCCACCGTTAAATTAAACTTTTTTTGTGGATTTTATAAGAGGTTAGGGGTAGAGTGTTGTCATTCCCAATATTTAATATTGTATCGCCTAATATGGTAGTGTGAACTTAATTTGGAAAAATCGAAAAAAGGAAGTGACAACTTAAGTGGGGGATGAGGGAGTATGATATAACAAGAATCAAGAGTTAGGTGTCCTCAGGCTGATTTTGCTCTTTCAAAAAGCTTTTACCAACTGAAATATTTAAAACTTCTACATATTATCATCTTTCAGTCAATGCTTACTGGGAAAGGCCTAGGTAACTTCTGAAGCTGATCCTGTAGAGGTCTGACATGAGTTTTGTAAACATGAGCATCTCCAATGACATGGACAAGTTCACCAGGAGAAAGGCCTATATGAAATTTAGAACCATAAGGCACTTGTAATGGGCAACACACAAAAAAATAACAGATGAAGGGGTGACAATATGGCATATGCCATTAAAATATTCAATCAAATTTGATTATATTTGTAATATCTATGGTAAAGCCAAAAAAATAATATTAAAAAAACAACTTTCCCCATTTTCTCAACAATTTTCCAAGTTCCACACATTCCAAACGTGTTGCTAATGCAAATACAAACCCCGATAAACATACCGGAAACATGGGCAATCATGCAGGTCAAAAGGGAGTAAGAAGCAATGTTAAATGGCACTCCAAGACCCATATCAGCAGAACGTTGGTACATTTGACATGATAACTCACCATTGGCCACATAAAACTGCAAAGGGAAGATAATGCAATTGAGAAACTGAATGAGTTACACTTTCATTCCAACAAATTTTACTTTTATACTAACTTGAGCAAACATGTGGCAAGGAGGAAGTGCCATCAATTTGAGATCAGAAGGGTTCCAAGCAAAAAGAACAATATGCCTATCATTTGGATTGTATTTAATCTTGTTGATAACATCCAGAAGTTGATCAAATCCTTGGCCAGTGTAGTCAGCATGCATGTTTGTATACCTGCATAATAAGTCTTCTGTAACAAATAGATCTCCTCACCAAAAAATAGGTCAAACTATATTTAAAGCTCACGTGGCACCAAAGTGTCTCCACTGGAATCCATATATTGGTCCTAAGTCACCCTCTTCTCTGTCCTCTAAACCAATACTGCAGTTAAAAACACATCAAATGCTAATTATGGTTTTTTTAAAGAGATATCTTTGCTATATACAGAATAACACAGCTATGACCTACCTATCAAGGTAGTCTCTTGATGCATTTCCATCCCATATATGAATGCCCTTCTCTTGTAAGACCTGGAATTTTAAAAAAATATTTACAAAAAAGATTTCATAGACAGCAAGGCCCAGAAACATAAAAGAGAAAATATTATTACTTTTGCATTTGTAGAACCACTTATGAACCACAGGAGTTCTTCAACAACACCTCGCCAAAATACTTTCTGCAACCAAAATAGAGTTTAGACCATAGCAAAATTGTGTGTTAATTGAAGGAACGTGAAACAAAATGAATGTTAAGCTAGAAGTTGCAAACTAAATTGAATGTCAAGAGTATACCTTTGTTGTAAGAAGTGGAAAGGATTTCCGTAGATTGAACCGCATCTTCATATAATAATTATTATAAAAGGTCAAACCACAGGAAAAAAACACTAATGTTGAAACAGAATTAATTAATTATTCCACTGCACTGTCTCATGAGTAAATATGCAATAACTTATACTCCGACTACCTGGCAACCAAACTTTGACAGTGTACCAGTTCCAGTCCTGTCATCCTTAGAGACACCATTGTTTATGATGTCCTCAACCAGCCTCAGATATAAGTACTCTTCATGTTTCTCAAAAATCATCTTAGGCAAGAAAGAGAATGCTTTCACCTCAGACTTTGCAACATCTGACCCGTTATCAAGATTGAGAACGTTGTTCGAAGTAAGGGAGTCTACTTCAGGACTCCTCACACGAACATAAGTGGTAAAAGAAAATCGAATCTTGTTTTCTTCCAAAGGGAATGATGTGCACCAGGGCTGAAATGCAGTCATATCAATAGCCGGCATGAAAGTATCACAGTCAATGTCTGCCTCAACCTCAGTAATATGAACAGCCTCACATTTATCGGCATTAAGAGCCTCCCTGAAATTTTACATGCGGCACTGCAGAAAATTAACAAAAGAAAGAGAAAAAAGTACTAGTTTACAAGAAAAGAACTAGCAAACCAATGCAAATTTCTACTAACCGGAAAATCTCACCACCACCAATGACAAAGACTTTCTCAATCGATAGATAATAAGGAGAAGATGCCAACAGTTGCAAAGCAGATCCTAAACTGCTGCAAATCACAACGTTCTCTGAAGTGGCAATGTCAAAACTACCAGAGCGAGTAAGGACAACATTCAGGCGGCCACGGAGAGGGCGGTGATCCACAGGAATACTTTCCCAAGTCTTTCTGCCCATGACAACAGCGTTCTTTTTACTAGGGTCAGCTGTTGTTACGGTAACCTCTTTGAAGAACTTCAAATCAGATGGCAGTTTCCAAGGTAACTTTCCATCCTTGCCAATACCCCAATTGCGAGTGGCAGCAACTACAATCTGGTAGGTCCTCTGAGGATCAGACTGCACGTTGACATTGCCATTAGAAATGCCAGTCCCAGAGTCACCAGCCATGACAGAGTAAGATGTCCGTAAGAGGCCTAAAGGTAAAGAGGTGAACTTGAGCTCACGCGGGCAGCTTTGGATGAAGCGTGAAAGACCCTGAAAATGGCCAACATGATTACTTCAAACAAAACCATTGGACACCCAACTAAACAATACTCCTTCCCACCATTAATAAACTTGATTTAATCATTTGCTACAAAAAAAAGCCAAGAAACCTCTTGTTTTACATACATTTGATTTTTAAACTCACATCGGTTGTTTTTTCAGAAAAATGGAATTGAAAATAACTGCAATCAAATACAGAGTATAGTACTCCAAAATGTGATGTTAAAAAAGGGATGAAGGGAGTTCTAATGGAGAAATTTTGAGCAAGCTTAGTTGAACTATGATTTAACAACACAGAATTCCATAATGCAACAACACAAAGTGTTCATCTTCATCAAAGCATTCTTCTTATCTTTACAAAAATCTCAATTCTTTGATTTCATAGTGTACAACAAAATACATCAAACCAAATAGGCACTGTTTTTCTAATAACTTGATTTCTTTCTAAGTCTCGCGATGTTTCCAATTAAATGTACAGTGGGAGGTTGGATTTGCACAGAGCATTATTTACTGCAAATCACTTTGAAATTAAAGGGATGATGAAAAACTGGAAATTGCTGGCGCTCTCAAGTCTCACCCCATAAATTGAAAAATTGTTCGCTCTTCCCACACCAGCAACCCAGCATCTCTGCATTAAATTCCCTTTTGCCGGCCGAATTTTTAAAAAGAATCTGACAAACAATGCCGATTTCTTACTGACAAACGACGAAGATTCTTTAAATTAAAAATTAAAAGAAAAAATTCGAAACCATAGATCTAAAAAATTATTATACCGTACATCCGGCTGTACGGTTAGAACCGTACAGCCGGCTTAAATCCCTAAGAAGCGCGACGAGACGAGACGAGAAGAAGAGATGGAACGGAAAATTGACTTTCGCCTACCCACCTTTGTCGCGCCTCTGTTCCTGCTTGTTGGAGAAGACGCAGACGCCGCTGATGAAGGGATTGCGTTATAATTGCGGGAGAGGAAGCAGACGGAAATTGGGGGTTTAAGGTACGTGGGACTGTGGAAGTAGTACAAACTTGGGAAACTCGGGGTAAAGATATGAACAATTAATTTAATTCACAATGACCACTATTTTATTTTGAGAATGAGTAATAATTTGTTTTATTTTATTCGTAGTTGAATATTATAATTATATTAAATAAATGTGTGAAAATGTATATTACATTATTGCAGAATGAATATTTTGTTATTTCAAAATGAGCACCACACTATTTCAAAACTAATATATGTTGATACGAGAATATGTATTATTTTATTTCAGAATGAGTACTACCCAGATCTACCTATTTCTATGTACATCCGGATGTACCATATACACTGGACAATCGAAATAATTAGACAGTAATTTGACAATGTTAAAAAGATGAAGCAGCGAAGACTGAAAATTGAAACACACCTGAAGATGGACGGATGAGGAAGGACAGATCAGAGTGGACTTGCGGGAGTTTTTCTAGCCATTTTTCTAGGAGTGAATGGATTCCAAGAACTTGAGCCCACATGAATGTGAAGATTGGACTCAAATGTTAATTGGCCCGCATTTGAATGTCACTCTTCATTACGTTCGCGAGGAATAGCACAACAAGGAATTGTAGAATTTTCGATGGGCCAAGAACAAAGCGCTGGGTGTCGGGTAAAATTAATCACTTGCATACAAAGTTGGATTCTCTTTTCTATCCCAAAAATTTACACTATGTTTGGTTCAAAGAATTTGAAAAGGAAAAGAAAAGAAAATAAACTGGAAAATAGTTTTTCATGTTTGGTTGAAGAGGAAAAGTGGAAAGAAAAGAAAATGAGAAGATAAATATACGAAGTGGAGAGAAAACCAAATTCCTCTCATTCTGGTGAGGAAAAATGAGAGAAAATCATTTTCTTTTCTTTTTCTTACAAAATGCTTGAACCAAACATAATGTTAAGCTATCTGGCCAAGTTTCACCCTCTTATATACGAAGTATATGCTAGTAAGCAATTAAGCATATATATAAGAGGGATATCTAGCCTAACCTAGTAAGCATTTGGGCAAACGGGTCTAGCATCTCCATCTAATTATTTATATTTGTAATGTTACATTTTTGTATAGATCTTTTAGATTTTTTTTTGAAATTTTTTTATCACCTTAGTTCCCATGACATTGGAAACCAATGTCATGCAAATGTCATGGGATGACCCGGGGGAGCTCCGGTGCCCCGTTCGTAAAATTGACGGTTCCTACCCCCCAATAAACCCCCCCCACCCCACCCCAACCCGAACACACCCCCCCACCTCCTTCAATTGCACCCCACAAGTCGATTTTGATTTTGGAGTCAAAATTTAACTCCAAAGTCAAAATCGACTTGTGGGGTGCAATTGAAGGGGGTGGGGAGGTGTGTTCGGGTCGGGGCGGGGTGGAGGGATTTACTGGGGGGGGGGGGGGTTGGGGGGAAGGAACCGTCAATTTTACGAACGGAGCACCGGAGCGCTCCCGGGTCATCCCATGACATTAGTTCCCAATGTCATGGGAACCTTCCCTTTTTTTTTTATTTTATTTTTAAGTTTAACTCCTTTCGTACAGAAAAAATCTTGTCTTGACTTTTTTGTCAAACTTTGACACTCTTTGATTACAAATTAAATATTATTTAAATAAATAAATGTAATAAAATTTGATATATCAAAATTTAATTCAAAGATGAATCCAATTATAATGAATTTCCATTATGATTAAATATATTTTTTTATAATTTGTGGTCATAGAATGTCTGACAAAAAAAGATTTTTCTAAGAAAGAGGTAGTATATTATACATAGTTAATTTTATTAATGTTTAAAGTTTATATTATATTTAAATAAATCAAATTAAAAATAATTATACTCAAATTTCGTTAACAATTGACATCCTGTGTCAGTGGAAATTATATAGAGGATGTTTGAGAGTGATTAAATTGTAGATGAAGTAATTTCTACAAAAGTTGAAATAAAAAACACCTCATAATATAGACACACAAACACACATACATACACACACTAATTGAACCTCAAATGTGTGATATAAATTTCCCATCTTGAAAAGGGGGATTGGGAGCTCAATGTTCCATTGGAAAAGTACCGGTTGGCACGATCAGAGACAATCACACAAACATAACGATTGTATGTGAAAAGTGGTAGTGTCAACATTGGTGTGAGTGAAACATAATCGATGTTCCATTCTCAATGTTCAACAAATCAAATAGACGATGTATATCACAGAGAGCCAAACAACAGCATAAATGAAACCGCTAAATCAAAACGCCATATTAAAGGCCCTCAAAGAATCTCAAATGGTCTTCGAACATCTCGGCGTGCCTTATTTTTGATACGCGTCCATCCTCTTCAACCTATAAATGGGAAGTTAGCACGCGCCGAAATCATCTGAATGAACTAAAACTGCAAAGGCAATGGGACTAAGAGCTTGTTGTCTTCAACTTATTCTTTTTACTTGTTACTTATTCTTATTGGAATCAGATCAGAAATAACTTTAAATATAACTACAATCATATCAAATCAAAACTTAATCGAATCATATCAGAACCAATTAGAAAAGTTGAAGACAACAAGCCCTAACACAAGATTTGATTGACAAGCCCATGCTAATTGTTGCTACTCATTGTGTTAACAAACCAACTCCACCAAAAGCTCAAACTTGTGGTCGTAGACCTAGAAAAGATTTTTTCAGTCTAAAATAACCTCTCACATGCAGACCGAATTCATTTTTGTCCTTGAACCTTACACGCGAAAAAGTTTTTTTTTTTTAAATATTGGACGGCAGTCAGATGCTTACTCACGACCAAAAGTTGAAACATGTGGTTGAGTTGGTTCCATATAACACGTATCACCAAAGGTGAACAATTTTAGAGCAGCAAAGGTTAGGGGTACTAACCCAATACTCGGGAGGGCGCATCTTGAGATTGTAGGTTGATGCCATACTCATGCAGTAGGCACCCGCATCATGAACAACCAAGCCACAACCCTGCATTCAAAGCCCGTACTCAGTATGAGGATTTGAACAAAATCCGAAAGCCCGTATTAAAGAGATATTGAAACTTACTTTTGGAGGGGTTGGAAGTTCTCTATTCTTTCCCAAGAAATCTGCCGACTCACATACGGGACCCACAACATCAAATGTAGAAACCTTGGAGTCCGAGGGTGTGGGAGAAGCTAACTCAATGTGCTGCACCCAAAAAAGAAGAAATGAGCAATTGTCTACTAAATAGCCTATGTCTCATAAATTGATTTGTATTTATATTACTCCCTCCGTCGTCTCAAAATATGGTTCTCATTCACTATTTATTCACATTTTTCGAAGGGTCAAAATGTATCTTCTTTTATTGATGTTTTCATTGACCATTTGATAAAATAAAATAATCAAACCATCTATTGCTTTGTAAAGTTTTTATGTTATTTTTACACATATAAATGTTATTTTTAATTGAACCCTAATTTTCACATAGATTGAAATGAGAATAAATCTAGTCAGACATAGTATACTGCAACACAAATCTTATTTTGGAACAAAGGGAGTAACGAATATGAGGTAGATCTTGTTTGCATACATATAGAAATGGAGACAATTGTTTATTACGAAGAAGTAATTATCAAAGATGGCATAAAAAGGAGTAGAAAATCGTTTAATATAACAACAAACAAACCCACTAGAATTCCATAGAAGTAGGGTCACGAAAGGGTGTGTGTACATAGGCCTTACCCTACTTGAACGTAGTAGAGAAATCGATTCCAAGAGACCCCGACACAAAGAACAAAAATAGGCTGAAGTAAAGATAAGTAAACATATAGTATCCTACAACAGTAAACAATTAAGGCCTAGAGGTCTATGCGACTAACCTAATCTTGGCTCTCCGGGCTCAAGTCGTATCCTACAATAGCAAACAATTGTTCAATACGGCGCATAATCATCAAAGACATTTGTTTACCTGGTAAGCATCATAGAGACTCGGACGAATAAGCTCCGACATGCTACCGTCAATTACAATGAAGTTTTTCGTCCCGTTTGTTTTAACTCCAGTGACACGGTTCACCAAGCAGCATGTATTAGCAATAAGTGACCTTCCGGGTTCAATGATGAGATTCAGGTTTCTTGAAACAACCAATTCCCTGACCTATACAAGAAAAATAAGTATAAAAAAAAGTTCAAATGCTCCATCCTTCACATATTTATCTTGGAATTTTTATGATTTGCGATGAAGTAGAATTTGTGTGGTTGTGGTTTGTGTAGAGGAAAGAAAAATCATATAAATCACATGAAATAGAGTGGTTTTCTGTTGAGAATAAGAGATGAGGGAATTCTCACGGTATCTATCAGATCCCTGGGTGAAGGCAGGATGGCTCCAGAGTGATAATAATCAATCCCCAGCCCGCCACCAATGTTCAAGAAATCAATTTCAAATCCCTGAGTACGAATTTGGTCGATAAAGGCCACCATCAAGACTGCAGCATCTCTGAATATATCTACCTGGAAATACAATAAAAATGGGGTTTACTCTCAAGAGAAATGTCAAGTATTATTGCTTAGAAGATAAACATGAACCAACATGTATGCTTACTTTGGTTATGGTAGACCCAAGATGACAATGAGCTCCAACAAGCTTCAATTCCTTTGGATGTGCCTTTATAGCATCCAAGAACCATTGCAGCTTCTCATTTCTGATGCCAAATTTGGAATTTTTATTTCCCGTGGCAACATAAGGATGCACCTAAATGGAAAGCATATTATTGCAAACAAAAGAAAATCCATAAGAAGATATATATGGGAGTGTCTTAGAAAAAAATATATTCAGAAGCAATTTGCGGGTAGCTTATAATATCCATAAGTAGATATATATGGGAGTGTCTTAGAAAAATAATATTCAGAAGCAATATGCGAGTAGCTTAGCTACTAGTTTTAGGCTTGGAACGTCTGGAGATCTAGGACTAGAGTAGTTGGATAGAGATTAGGGGCCTTAGTTTGTAGTTTATGCTCATGTGTCTTTATCTTGGTTTGTAGTTGGTGCATGTGTACTTTGCGTGCTTTGGGTCTTCTTACTAGTGTCGATATGTGTGCTTCTTGTTTATAAGCTCTTACTCAGTGTGCTACGGTGTTAGCTTTACTTTGTATGTGCTTCTATTTTTGAGCCGGGTGCCTCTTATAAACAACCTCTCTACTTCAGAGCAGGGGTAGGCTTTGCATAAACACACACTCCCCAAACCTTAATGGGACTTAATGGGTTTGTTGATATTATTGTTCTTGTTGTTGAGGTTTAAATGGCTTTAAGAAGTAAAAAGCAAAAAATTAATTTTGTTCACCAAGCACCAAAGTTATAAAAGCTACTTTAAAAAAGAAAAAAGGCAAAGATTTAATTTTTTTTCTTTAAACACTCCCACTGTCATATTGATGGAAGCGGACAATATGTGAAGCCATTGTGTGCCTTGGTCATCAATACCTGGGGATCCACATCAGGGTTAATCCTCAGAAGCACATTAACTTTCTTCCCAGAAATCCTTGCTGCTTCAACAATGTTTTCTAAATCAAATTCACTGTCAATGTTCACAAAAACACCCTCTTGGGCAGCTACCACCAGATCCTCCAAGATTTTTCCATTTCCATTAAAAATACACCTGTACTATAATAACATATTAACGCAATTCTCGCTAACACTAACACCACAAAATTGAAATGCAGACATACTAAATAATTAATACAATAATACTTCAATCAAAATATATTTTAGCAGTTCACGTCAATAACACTACCATATTACGGAGTAGTTTTTAAAGGATTTATATCAATATACATTGTTGATCCTATTTACATTTAAAATGTTTTAAAAATCTAGATATCGTCTATGCTATACACAAAATGTAGTGCTTATTCAAATTTGAATGATATCAAATCCCCCCTACCCGCCTATGCTAATGTTCTGCTAACTAAATTCAAATTCTAGTGCTAAGTGTTTGTTCAGTCCAGCTAGCAAGAGGAGCTTTTTAAAGTATGGCGATGTAATTCTACTTCTACAACAACAACAAACCTAGTAGTGGTAACAAAATCAAAGTAGTGGTTGTTGTCTATGAATCCATGCAATGTCTAACTCAACTAGCTTGTTTGAGAAACTGCTTATGCATATAGCCTATGGCTTTGGAAGTTTAAAATGGGCTAAAGAAGTACTTTTTAACAAATCTAAGACTAAGTGCTTTCTGTTTCTACTTATAACTTTTGCTTACCACAATCCCAAACACCCACTTAGTTATAGCTTTGCTTATAACACTTCTAAAGCCCATATTAGATTTCGGGACGATACCATATAAACTCAACCAAAAATTCAAATTTGTGTTTGTAGGCACATGAAATGAGACACAAATGAACATTACCTAGCAGGATCAAAACCAGCATGGAGGGCCAACTTGAGCTCATTGCCGCTAACAAGGACAGCCCCACACCCCAACTTCCTCAAATGCTCCAAAATCTTGAGATTATTATTGGCCTTAATCGCATACCCAATAATCGAACCCAAACCCTCCAAAGCATCCTTGTAAGCCTCGACGTTTCTGGTGATTTGGGATTTGCTGTATAGGTAAAACGGTCTTTTCTCGGCAGAGCGCATGACGTCCTCAACCTTGACTCCCTCGCAGTACAAGAACCCATCCTCGGATTTCGAAAAGCAGTGCTGGAATTTCTGGGTTTTTGGCTCTGAAGTTGACAGAACCGCCCTTGTGACCCACCTGGGTTTGAGTGTGGAAATTGGTTTCAGGAAAAAGGGTTTGGGGATCGCGCGGTTTAGGGTTCTGGGAAGTGACGGCGGATTCGAGACGAGATTAGCGGCTGCCATGGCTGGACGACGGACCAAGGCCGCGGTGATGTAGCAGAGGCAGAGCCACTGAGACGGAGGGTAAAAAGCGGCAGTAATGCTCTGTTTGGTTGAGCCCTTAAAAAAATATTTTCTACTTGTATTTAAGCTAAGTGTATTTTGTCCCTCAAAAAAAATATTGCGATCACTTTGCATTTAATTAATTACCGGTCTTAAAAATAATCTCACATTTCTCTCGCATTATTTTAAAGATCAAAATAAGAGTATGTAATAAAATAAGAGTTTCATATTTTTTATTTTTAAAATGGGAGTATATTGCATTATTGCCATTAATATCATCATAAAGATAGTATAAATTCTTATTTTTGAGATAAATACTACGGAGTATGTTTTATTCTTGTTTTAAACACTATATATTTTATTCTTCTTTATGATTATTGCTTCTAAAATTTTGACTTAAATTACACAATGAAACTCAATGCTTCTATTTAATTTAGTGCGAGATGAATTTTGGATGTCAATCAAATAAAATTAAGACTATGTATATAATTAGAAAATTGATTTTATTAAATCTATCTATTTGAAAATTTTTAAAATTTGATTTCATTATATTAATATGTAATAAAAAAATTTAGAGTAAGCATATAGTTAAATATTCTCATATATATGATGTAGAATTATGATATTTCAATTCAAAATTAATTAGCAATTGATTAAGTAACATTTTTTTTATGATAGTCTTTTTTTGCTTGAATAATGCTCCATATATACTAATTTGAATCATACACATTTTAAATTTTAATACTCCACTTTTTTTTTAAAAAAAAAGTGATATTTCCTCTTTTTTTTATAAGAAAAATGTGACACATGAACACAAGAAGTCAAATAATGAAGTTTCTTCTTTTGGGGTAAGGGTTCGAGTATAAATCATAGAAGATGTTCTCCCTTAGCTTCAGCTCTGCAAGCGTTTAGAACAAAAAGAAAAAAAAAGAAAATGGGTTATAATAATTATTCTAAGAATAATATTGGCTTAATTATCATTACTATTACTATAAGCTTCTCCGTTTTCATTCTCCTCATAGCCGCCGCATCACCTTTGCCACCTTCTTTTGCAGGTACATTGCATTTATATATACTTAATTACAATTAAGTAATTAATTATAAAACACTAATAATACTTACTTCTCCTAATTGTATTATTACTCATCTTATTTCAAGGGTGTTTGGGAGTGTGGTAGAGTGTTGAAAAAGTAAAAATTTTAAGTTGAACCGTAACACAGATATTTAATTTTAACTTTGCTTAAAAGCACTTATGGAGTCCATTTTGGACTGTAGAAGTCATAATTTATAAGTAGATACTGATTGGCAAATTAAACACGACAAACATTATTTTAATGAAGCAAAAGCTCATAAATAGTTTTTAAATTAAACGCAATCCCGAACTCCCTCTTCTTATGAATCATAAAGTGTTGTTGGCTGTTATCTAAAGCAATTAGTAATATTAATTATTATTAGTATCAATTAATTACGTACTTTCAGGCCAAAGAAGCAACTGTGATCACAATCAAGACTCAGTTTCTGCAACTTCGGAGGTCCGTGTGTATGCTTATAATTAATTTTTACTACGTATATGTTGAAAAAATTCAAAATATTTTTGTGGATCCCACCAAATTTACGTCCGAAATAGTTCCATTATGAGCCAAAAATTCCAACACTATATATGTTACATTACTTACATGTATGCCCGGTTGCGCGAGGATAATCTCACATTTTTACCTTATTTTTGACCACATGTTTTGCACAGATAGACACAACTCCCAGAGAACAATCGTGTTTGTGAGACATTGACATTTATTATTTGAGCACGCATGTCTATGCAAAGAATAATGTCAATGAATAGATTTCTTTTTAAGTTGACAGAGAGTATTATATTTTATTGCTTTGTAATAAATTAAATGAGAAACAATAATATCATTTATAAAATTATATCATCATTCCTTAGGCGGTCGCAGTAAAGGAGGCGGGAGTGATGATGGAGGAAGAAGGAAGAGGAGAAGGAGCTGTTGGGACAATAATAATCCACGAGAGGCTTCTTAGCGCTGATGATGATGATCTAAAGGACTATGGAAAGATTGATCCGCCCCCAACCCTGCCCAAACCTCCTCACAAAGGTATAATCCACGGCCTCCATTAATAGATGTCATTCCGATCCCTCTACTATATATATACGAATGCATACATGTCTGTAGTACGTACTATCGGTTATTATCAAGTACTACGTACGTGCATGCATGGCTCGTAATTACTAGCTAATTTATCATTACGTGTTGTATTAAATATGTCTCTTTCGTTGCAACATAATTAAATAATTGCGTTTGTTAATGTTTCCGGTTCGCCATGGTTGTTGCTTTAATTCCGTGTTACGTTCGTTTTACATTGTACAATTATAATAATTATAATATGTTACATTGTTACGTCCGTGTTACGTTCGTTTTACATTGTTCAATTATTATATATATGCAATGTATATTATTGATTCTAATAGTTAAAATCGTTTAGTGTCGTTTTCATAGGCTCATCACGTTTAGTTAATTTGCTTTCTAAGAGCTATTCTACGATCCTACGATGACTCCTAAGAGTAGTGTTGTGTCTATATATAGATATATATATATATATATATATATATATACATATATATATATATATACACACACACACACACACATACTCCCTCCGTTCCCATTTAAATCGCATGTTTTGATTTTTGGGCATATTTAAGAAAAATAAAAAATAGAGTTGATTTTCCGAAATTGTCATTACTTTTTAGAAGGAGTAATGATGAATGAGAAGATAAGATGAAGAAGAGTGACTTATTTTAGGGGTAGTTTAGGTATTTTATTTTTAAAAGTTTACGAAAACAACTAACAGCCAACTTATTTTGGGACGGGAAAAAAAGACAAACATGCAATTTAAAATGAGACGGAGGGAGTATATATGAACGCTCTACCTCACAAGTAAAATCTCAAGTTTGACAAAGAATGACCTTTATTTCACAAGAGAAAAATTGAATACAAATGAAGTGCATAACCGCTATTGACCTCCTAAAACTAGTCCTAAAACGCGACCAAATAGAGCCTTAATGCATGAAGAAACTGTTGGAGGAGCAAGCACAAAATACAACTTAAGCGTAATATATTTTGTCCAAATAAACAAGATGAATGACAAGGCACAATAGACTCTGCAAAATCGGCATCAACAAACTCAATAATTAGCAACACAAATAAATAGAGAACACACAAATTATTTCTCCTCTATTTTTCTGTGTTGAGCTGCGTAATTGAGAGTTAAAACAGACCAGCACCACTTGGGCCAAAAGTTATAATTTGATAGCCCAAATTATAACAGAGGGATAGAAATATTGTCCAATTAAATTGAACACTTCTTCAATGGAGGAAGGATATCTCCCAACAAAATGCACTCACTATTACCAATAGCACGCCAATAGTTGCAGCAACGAAAACAACGATGCCCACAATAAGAATGGCAATGAATATGATCAATGGCTTGAACTCATGGTTGTTAATGTGAAAACTAAATCAGGTCATTCTACAGTCTTCGTGGTGATACCATTTCAAGGGAGGCGTGTTATTCAAATATTTTTGAGGTTGAATACATACACAATTGGCTCGGCAGCCATTATTGGAGCTTAGAATATCTATGGAGAAGATGAAGAGTGTAACATTATCAGGCAAAGAGCTCCGGTTTCAAAGAGGAAGATGAAGTGCAAGAGGGTTTGAATGGGAGGTCGAGGCAACTTTTTCATTTTCACTTTTTCCTAATCTTAAAAGATACTACATATTAATCATGATTCATAAAGGAGATAAACAAGTATAGCCACAAGGAAAACCCAAGAAAATCAACATGCAAAGCAATGCATTAAGTCTAAAATGTGAACAAAACAACTTCATCTCTACTACTCATAGTAATAGGCAAAAGTAGTCATGCACAAATTTGAAAAAAAGGGAAGAGATTCTAAACTCAAAGCAGAAGAGCAGACAGTGATAAGAAAAATTCTCAATACAATTCTTGAAGTTGAACCTCTCAAGAGTTGGTTGCTCTGGTGTATATCTGCTGGCTTGCATGTGCAGACACCTCCCTGATCAACCCTCTTTCCACCAATTCAACAATTACCTTTCTAGCGAGTGAACCATTTATCTGCAATGTTTGTTCGCAATAAAGTTAGCATTCCAAACACAATCAGTATGGAATAAAATGCCAATGAAAAAACAAGTTGAACACAATAGCTCATTAGGTGGCAAGGCAAATGTTGAATTTCATATCACATTCATCAGGAGATTTTTATCTATGCAAATAGATTTTGACATCCAAACCTATGCATTTTGATTCCTTTATAATCATTGGTTTCGAAATTCAAATGTTTAGGTATGAAGCATGTTCTCTGTTCTCTTGGTTTTTGTTGAACTTGTTTCCTTGTGCTTTATAACCGTTGGTTTCCAAATTCAAATGCTTGCATTTAATATTTGGAAACACATCACAAAAGCACAACAGTATATATTCCTTTCATCCTCCCACTTATGCTTCAGAAACGAGGAATAACTAAAAATCCTTCTAATGGAAGGGATTCAGCCATTGATTATTGTAATTGAGTCTGCATGCTAACCAACACAGTTCTTGAACCAAATTCCCATCAGGACAAAATACAAAGAATATTACTTAAGAAACTCCCAATTGTATCTTAACCTCCAGTCGTTGATGCAAATTAACAACTTTAACTAATAAAACATCAAGTCATCAATCTTAACCTCCAGTCGTTGACTCAGAACCAAACTTTAGGTAGGTCTTTTTAGGGAACTTTATGTAGGTTAAAGCCTTAAGTGCATCACTATCTAAAAAGCACATTTGGCAAGTCAAAGTTTATTAGTAAATCCATCCGAGTCACATGAGTATATCAAACCATAATTCCAATTTCAATTATATGCAGAATATTTATAATCCTTATTATATGTCAATCCATAAAAGGAGTGTTTACAAAATACATATGAACACATATCATTCCTTTTTGGAGTTCAAAAAATTCTTCTTTCATGTAGAAA